ATAGTAGAATGTAAAACTGCTTGCAGATCAAGGAACACTTAACAGGGTACCTAAAGTAAGCTTTTACGAATAGCTACAAAACATGTCTCAAAGTGTTCATAGTAGAATGTAAAACTGCTTGCAGATCAAGGAACACTTAACAGGGCACCTAAACAAAACCGACCACCATTCACAATACAACCAGATAGCTGCTGTCTGTCGATCCTACCTCGTTGCAATTATAGAGAACCTTCTTCGAGACTGGATCACATGTCCGCAGCAGCAACTAGACAGTGTACAGACTTCACAAAGTTACCTTGTATGCCAAACGTCTAATGTGCAATACACTTACAGTAAAGCATAAAACTACTCGCATGCAATGATGCTAAAAACATGTCCAGTGAACTAATAATAAGTAGAATACTATTCTTCATACAGATGAGTCGTGCTTTACCCTGGTAGCAAATAACAGATTCATACTCGTTTGTAAAGAATGTGGAATCAGGTCGAACCCCAGTTTGATACATTAGGGACATGGAACCTGTGGTGGTGTTAGTGACGAAGGTATGGTGAGCTCAACAATAAACATCATTACACATTATACGAACCACATCTTAAGACACTTTGTGCTGCAAAATGCTTGTGTAATTGGCTCTGACCTCAGCTTAATGAAAGATAAATGCCTGTCTCCACTGTGCTAAACATGTCGACACATTCCCTGAAAAAGAAGAGGGGGAATGATATTTCATGATTTTATCAACTCTCTGATTTTAAGCATGCAATATTGTTACCTTCGTTGTTCGTGGGGACCATGTTCTTTGATTGTTCAGTGAAGTGTTTAGTTATGCAATAGTTTATTTTCTGGAAGTCTGGATAAAGTCACACACACAAACACACCCAGAACTTATATTGCTGTGTCCTGTGTCAAAATAGCCGTCAAACATGCTTCCTTTCATCTGCTTCTACAAATACACAAACAACACAAATGAAACACCAATCAGTGACACTTGAAACACCATGCTCCCATAAATTTATCATTGTTTCATATGTCCTGTATTACTCCTGTATCAAATGGAGTTTCAAAACAGACTTTGGAACCACGATTATTATCACTCAGTTTGATGACGTTTGACCTTTTAGGTTTTCATGTAAACTCAAACAACCTTTATAATATTCATATCGAGAATTTGTGCACATCAAACCATGATTGTGAGTTCTCCATTGGCCTCTTTCTTAGATATATTATTTCACCACAATTGCTACATGCTTGGGATTACCGTCATCCTGGAGGATGAATCCCTGCTCATTAGGTATTATTCCTATGGGAATAACATGATGCGTTAGAATTTGTTTGTGCCTGTCAGCAGTCAGTGTTCCATCAATTTTGAGTAAACTGATAACACCATTGACTAAGATGTATCACACACATGTACTGAACCTCCAGCATGCTTCACTGTAGATGTTGTATGTTGACCGTGATACCATTCTACTCTCTGCCGTCGAACAAACTATCATTGATCGTTGCCAAACAATTTAAATTTGTAAAAAACACCCTCTTTTTGCTTTGCTCATCCCATTGTTTGAAGTCTGCTGCCCCCATTTTAGTCTTTTGCTTAAGTTTTTTGAGCAGCTACATATTCACAGAGACCACTTTGTGTTGATGTATATCTTGCGGTTCAAGAAGTATCATTCACACTTATATTTGCAGCTAGGTCATTTGCAAAATCGCTACTGAATTGTCTGTATGGCATATAGAGCATACCCTGAGTTATTTAATATCACATTTGAAGAAATGTTCTTTTCTACTTCGACTATTTCTATTACTAACAGTACTCCACAGTTCCCTACAACTTCTATGGAAGAATGAAATTTCGCCTCAGTTTTTCGCGTGTCCTAGAGAGGAAGAAAAAAGACAAAAACGTTGATTTATACACGTTTGGTACGTGGCATTTCTGTCCTGGAAGCTGTAAGTTCATTCATACAACAGCTAGGAATAGTATGACTGCCTGAACTTTAGGCACTATGCTGATGTGGCACTGCCTGGTCGATTGTATGGCAGCCACTTACAATGTAAACTATCAGCACGTGACTGTACTCTAATGCAGTTTGTCTTCGTACAATAGTGAGGGAGCAAACCAATACTATTTGAATTTTTATACCAATTTTATTCACATTTCCAGTTCTGTATATATATAGTCATTTGTGTTTTAGAACACCCTGCATCAATCAGAAGTAGTCTTCTTTTTTTTCTGTAATGTATGTTTGAGGTAACTATATTTCCATATCAACCAGGAATAGTGATCCTTGTCTAAGAACATTTTTGTTTTTCATAAATACAGTCAAGTATCAACCAGAAAAAATCACCTCTGTATAATGTGTGACGGATTTACTATCTCGTATCTATTTTAATATCGATGTTTATTTAAGTTAAATTTATATGTAGAAATGTACATAACTTATACTGTTAAATCTGTACTGTTAAATCTCGAGTGTAAGAATCAACAATACATGTGTGTACGTAAACATTGGTGTATCGTTTATATTGTTGAGTAAGCTCAAATTTCGAGAAACTCTCCTCACACCTATAAATATAATCAACGTGACGCGCCAAAATACAATATATATTATTGGTTTGCTATAGTTGGTGTACTTTAAACTTCGGTAGCTATAACTGTGATTGTTATAACGCTTATTAATCGAGAACTTCAGATATTTGACCAGGAAGTTTATAGATTTCGAATATCAGAAACCATTTAACTTCAGCTGATTCACATCGAAAATTAATATTTTTACGAAATCATTATATCACTTCATCAGTGGATAAATCGGTGTGTTGTCGGCGAAGACCGAAGAACACAGCGTTGTTAAGTGAATTGTATATATATCTACTCAAAATTAATTCGCTCATCGTGAACCCTCTATAAGATATCAAGGAAGTCCAGACCAGATAGAGAGCTAAATAGTTTGTAAGTTTATATCACTATTTGTAATAACTGTTATCGTAAATTGTGTTATTGCTAAAATATATTTGTATTTAAAAAAAAACTGTGTGTATCAATCTTGTTGGCAGTGTCATAAATTGGATATATATATATCGACATTTATTTAATTTCTAAATCTAAATTATCATTTAACTCAGTTTTGGCTATTCGAAATTATAATAAATTGGAGGCTCGTCCGGGATAAATTGTAATACGTAACAAATGAAGGATATTTTACCGGAATATTAAATTGTATAGACCAGGAATGTAGTCATTGTTGTAACGTAGATTATCCATTCGTGTAGAAGTAAGAAACTCGTTTATCACGATATTCTGCCTTAAGGATCACCGCTTTATGACATACTTTAGCCCATAGACATGTTAGAATTTCTGTATTGATGGGGAAGTTTGGTAACACTAATCTTCATTTTTCATGCCTATGTTACGTGAATACACAAAAGGAAGTAGGGGATGTTTCTAGGCTGACGGCTCAGCTAATTAGGCTTAACTAGAGGAACAAATACATCAAAGGGATATTTTGCAGAAAAGTGAATAACTTTTCAGTTTTGGAAAAAGTGATTTTATCCAGAAATCTTGAAATATATTCAGAAACATAGTTTCATCCCATCAGAAAAGCTATATCAATATGAACATGTAAAAATTTCCAAATTATTCACTAAAGCAACAATATAGTTCGAGGTAATGAGGAGCTTCCGAATAACTTTCTTTGATGTGATATTTGATCAGCTGCTTTCAGCAAATGCACAAAAATACAAAAACAAACGTACTTGTTAAAACTTACTTTTCTGCAATGCTAACGTTAACCACTGAAACATAATCGCACATGTAGCTTTTTTTTTCAGTAGTTCTAAAGTTCACATTCCAGGAACAAGAGCAAGCTTCTACATTTGACGTAGTGTGAAAAGCTGTGTAGTTTCGCGAGTTTATATATAAAAAACAACAACGTATTTTTTTTTGTAATTTGGGATATAAAATATACATAGTATCAAATGTTATCCAAAGTATGATCTTGTGATTTTAATTACTGTAGAATGAAGAAGACTGTAAGTAAACCGTCTTGAAAATTGGAATTTTCGAAGAGCCTTGGCTATTTGTTTTTTTTTGTTTGTTTGTTTTTTCTGGGTAATATAGCCCCCAGAAATAGCGAATTACTAGAATACTGAAGACATATAAAGAATGACTTTCTTCAAAACTTTTCAATTTTAATGGTAGTTGAAGAAAATATAATTTATTCCAAAGATCGCTCCCTGTTCTCATCATATCAAAAAACATTTTACACCACTTTTTTTTTATCTAATAGTAAAAAATAAAATTCATTCCAAGGCGTTCTGGTTTTAAAGTTTTATGTTATTATAAAATCTCAAGAAGAACGTCGATTTTTTACTTTGAATCATTTCACTTTTACAACATCCAAAGAAGAAATGTCTTTAAAGCTTTTAGTCTCAGCTTCAGACACAACTTGTTATATGTGTCATTATATCACGTGACCTCCTTGCACGTTTTTAATCAACGTGGATAATTATAACCAAAGTAAATGTGTCATTGCTTACCAGTGATTGTTGTCAATCTGAAACAAATATATAAAGGCATCACCCCTATGCCTGATGTTTCTATACATGTGGTTTATAAATGAAGTGTTCACATCTGATAAAGTTTGTACATAAGTCCACATAGAAGATCTATTTTTGTAAATACGATTATTTTCATATTTTTAAAGCATATTCTAGATGTGAAAATATAAAACAATCTTTAGGGATCATATTGGTGGCATATATATTAGTTATAAAGCAGAATGGTTAATTACTTTATCATACGGATATGTATATATATATATATTATAACAATACATAAAACTAAACATGACTCTCATAAGTATAAAGCCTCATTAAGTTTGATATTGTCGCCGACAGATGGCAGCAGAAAACAGTTAATAAATGAGTGCTAATGGTTTCTATGGTAACAAATATCTACACGCGTTTCCAAATTACTTGCATTCAAACAGACTAATCGTGTCACATACTCTAGTGGGCACGGGTAGTGACAACCAGCCGTGTAATACGGGATTACACAACAGAAGAGCTATGCAGCGACAGAGTAATTGCGCTCCATTTTGTCCACCTAGTAAGTATCTTCAAACCCAATGGGAAAAGCAGCAATACGAGAGACATCGACGTAAGGTAAGACTTGTGTAGATGTATTTTGTGAACGTGATGGCGGGTAATGGGGGGGGGGGGATAATCGGATTAGTTTCGTACTGGTAATATATCTTAACCATAAGAATACAAATAACCGTAAAACGTACTCGGTTTCTTATTTAGAACACTTAGTTTCACCTCTACTTACAAGACATGCCGCCAGAGATACAAGAAAGCTACTCATTGTTTCGTCGTATAAATCATCGAGATAACATTTTTTTATGAATTGTTTAAAACACAGGAATACATACAGCTTGTAAAGACAGGGTTATTGTCTACGTTCATTTCAACGAGTTGGCTAGCCGTCATTAAGCCTGTGTGAAGAGATTGTGAATAACTCTAATGGGAGTTTTTTTGTTTTGTTTTGTTTTACGGGCTGCGAATTTCAGGCCAAGGATAAAAAACACGAAATTATTGTACTAACCAACACATACCAAAGACCATAAATTATAACGTACACTAGTATAATTTTACAAATACAAGTCATAGCATTGAATACGTCATAGCTGCTACACAACTTTGAGTTATTCAAATCTGTCAGGAGTTTCTTGTTCAACTAAAACAGTTAAATTCATACTATTACGTAAAAACTGACAGTTCTGGTGCAAAGATGTTAAATCAAATAATAAAACGAAGATCAACGTTTTTTACTTGCACAAACATTTACTTGTAAAGTTAAAAAATTAAAAATGTACAAGTTAAAAGAAACTTAAAACTCCACATGTTTCGATGTAAATACTTACACCATCTTCAGGAAAATCCATCAAGAAGTACACATAACGTACCAGATTTACGTTTATAAGCAGTGTACTTCTTGATGGATTCTCCTGAAGATGCTATAATTATTTACATCGAAACATGTAGAGTTTTAAGTTTCTTTTAACTTGTATATTTTTAATTTTTTAACTTTACAAGTAAATGTTTGTGCAAGTAAAAAACGTTGATCTTCGTTTTATTATTTTATTTACTTAAATTCATAACTGGTAGAAGGTCTGGGTAAATTAAAAGTCATTTTCTACAATATTGTTTTGGCTGTTTACATTAAGTATTAAGTTAAACCAACACAGATATTAGAACAATGAACACGTTTCTTACCGAGTTAAAAAATTATCACAAAATTTAGAATAACTGGAGACAGTTTCTCAGTAAGTTATTTTACGATTTGTTACCTTAAACCACTCGTTAATAGTCTTATTATTAAGTGTTATTTATTTTGTTTCTATTTGAATAACTATTGCTAGGGTTAAAAGTTTAAACCAAAGTCAAATAGCAAATGGTTGCTACCTAATTTGAAAGCCGGTAACAAAATGGCTTACCAGGTAGCAAGTTTATATTTGTATCTGTGAATGACAATCTCTGAGCATATGGAACTATGACTGAATGCATTTGTTACACTCTTTGAGCATACAGAACTATGACCTGATCCATGTGTGGATCAGGGCTACCAAGTCCTGCATAAAGTATACATATACAACACAAATGTGTAGTCTACAAGTTTCTGGCGAATCCTTTTTATCTAGATTGATCCTCTGATCTGGTATTGTTGTCTAATGCGTTACGATTGTAGAAATGACATACATTTGCTAATGGAGTTACAAAATAATTTTGAAGATTAAATACATGTATTTTAAATATTAAGTACACATATATCAAATATTAAGTACACATATATTAAAGGTTAAATACATGTATTTTAAAGGTATAGTCAAGAGACAGAGGAACCAAGTCAAATAATTGTTTGAGTATATTATATCAAGCATTAGCTATTTTAACTGAAGTACATTAAAATGTTAGCTGTATAAAAAAAAGCGTTTAACTTCCTATCAAGTTACATGGCGATTTGGGAGGTAAGACTACTCTTCTGTAACTTTAATTTTATCATGATAAGCTTTGTTTGTATTGCTAAACTAGAACTGTCTAGACATCTGTTTAGTTTCCACCAATATTAGATTTTATGATATAATGGAATTGATTGGCCTTGTCGATCAGAAAGTGTAATTTTTATGGTCGTTGAACCAGCATTCTTATGTGAATAAAGATGCTGTCTCTTTATCATCTAGAGGTGGTGATGCTGGAGGGCGATTTTCTATCTTATACATTATGTAAAGTTTTTATAGAGTTTCGGCTATGACCAACTCTACTTAAATGGTCCTCTTTCTGTTTCTGATGTTTAATATAGTGTCTTTTGTGCTCTCATATTTAACCTTTTGGTCTTCACCTTGAGGTAAGCGATGCAGGTTAGTTTGAAAGAGCTTACCTGTGACCCACTGTAGAAGTCTATACTAATGAGTTATGTTATTAATCTTTGTTGTATTTTGTGTATGTATGTGTGAATTAAGACTTTTGACATACTTCTTTGCGTTTTGTTTTTACCTCTCATAACTTTCTCCTTTAGTTCAGCTTCACTCTGGCCAATTCTTCCATTTTTCTAGTTCTCGTGGTTGTGGCTTTCCTGAATACCTCACAACATTCTGTGTTAATTACTTCTTTTCTGATTTAAATACGACCTTAGTGATAAAATCAAGAGTTAATCATTTTTTTACTACGTGACATAACTGTGCTAGACACATCACCAAGTTTATTTTCTTCCGAACTACGTGAAGGTGAAATATAACACCAAGAAGTTATTTTCGTAACGAGTTAAATATAAATGCTAGAAGTAATAATATTTCTAAACATTGATAAGAAATAGTTATATGATCGTTAAGAATAAGGATTTCTAAAGGCATAGTGTTCCTTGTGTGCAGAAATAATAACGCATAGTTGAGTTCCATCCCATAATAATAAGAGATCCGATGGTTTGGCTGATGAATTTGGAGTAATGGACAGAGAAAATAAAACAAAAGCCACCAACTGGTTCCAAAATGTAACTTTATTTCTCTTTCACAGTTAAAATGGTAAGGCTGAAATACTTCAATTATGTTAGCTGAGTCAGTCGCAATCCAGCAAATCAGGGTAACAACAGCTATATCATCTCAAGTAACTGTAGAGTCAGTAAGCTCATAAAGATAACTTGGTACTCAACCAAATCCAATAGGCCAATAAGAAGGAAAAAAAAACAATTTAGACTAACGAAACCCAACAGGTCAATGAGAAGAAGAAGAAAAAGAAAACACAATTTAAACTATAAAAACCAACAGGTTTAGACCAACAAAACCAATAGGCCAAGAGTCAATTTACACTAACAAAGCTCAGTAAGCTAATGAGAAGAAAGAGGCGATTTAGATTAACAAAAACTAGAGGCAATATGTCTAGAGGTAGTCATTAGTTGACTTTATTTCAAACCAAACCCAGATAATTGTAAATAATTAAATAAATAAATATATATATATATATGGTAAATGCGATCTAATATTATGAGAGGGCGTATTTCACCTTATTGTTTAGTTGAGATTATCTGATCTTTGTCGAAGGCATTTTAACGAGGCCCTTTGAATCAATCTTTTATTTTGAATGATTCAGAGAAAAGTTTTTTTTTAAGGAACTATAGTATTTGGTGAAAGATGTAAATAAAGATAAGTTCCAAATATTTGCTTGTAGGTGGCGCTATTTATCACAGTAGGTCTTTAAATTAATTGGAAGGCAAGAATGATGGAATCTTCACGAAGTTTTACTTATATGTTATTAACTGACTTAGACATATCTTGTATTTCTAATTGACGTAGCAACATACGAAACATTATACTGTATATTGACAGTTATGGTACGTTTTAAAACTTTCAGTTTTATATATGTTATACGAACAGATCTTATTTATTTGAAAGTAACCTACTTAAATTGTTTTGTGTCAAATTACACAAATATTATTATAAATGCTTTGATATGTTTTATATTATTTCAAGATTAAGAAAGCCCGACCAGTTGTGGATACAACAGCGCCGCCTGGACTTTACCACATGAATGATATGTTTAAGAAACTTCACTTAGAAAAAGAGAGGTCCAATGAAATCCAAAGAGAAAATGATAGACTTTTGAACAAAATGAAATGCATAATGAACAGCAAAGGAACGATAGACTGTAGAAATGATTACGTATCAAAAAGGTGTGTGATTTTTAACCTGATTCTT